GACAGGGGAAGGGGATTTCATAAATACCTTCCCTGGTGGTCCTGTGGGCGCCCTCTCTCCCCGGTAGTCCAGCCCTCTGGTCTGCAGCTCCGCCGGGAGTGAGCAGCAGACCACGTGGTAAATCTTGTGATCTCCAGTCAGAGCGTTGCCATGGTAACACGCGGCAACGTTCTGATAGGCGGGGATCGCGAGACACTTCAGTCTGCAGCTCCCCATCAGCGCAAGGCCTTAGGCAGCCGCCTTAATCACCTAATTAGAGAGCCGCCTCTGATTATAATATGTGTAATGGACCTGTTTGCTATTATTTTCGACTTGTTATCTCAAAATTTCAGGAGGTTTATTTAATCAGCCTAGATGGGAGCCCCTATGGACAAAACGCATAGACTCATTGACGCTGAAGGCACTTTATTTCATGCACTGGTATCTCCGGGTTATTATTACACACTCTGCTGCTCATGCTTAAATAACTGAGTTTGAGTTTTAGTATTTGACGCTGGTTACTATGTACTCAGTATTATTTATTGTGTGGCTGTTTGTACATCCAGCAGATCTCTTCATAATGGTTTATACTCTGTACCCGAGTTACCATAGAAACAGTGCTTTTCTTGGAAAGTGTTTAACTTATTTTGTTTTAAGACACTGAAAACATACGAATTCTCTTTACAGCGCTGCATTTATTTATATGTTTTTTATTATTGTTCTGCTGCCATAACTCACATGTATTAGAGCAGGTGTACCTCAATCGCCAACACTGCTTCCATACTTGTGTTTGACGTCACAGTAGGAGTTTATGGTTAAACTTAAATAGCGCTAAACGTGTTAATTTTAAACTTCTGAGATTTACTGTGCATCGTAAAAAGACTACTTATAGAACTGCTGGAAAGGAAGTACTTTGCATTTTTATGCAAATAAAAGTTGTGTCACCTCCATAGGAAGTGGACACACACACACACTTTTTCTTTATCTAATGGCAAGAATAGCAATCAGCTGACACTTTCACAGCTAACAGAAACTCCAAACAGGAGCTCCCAGTTTTTCTGCAAGAAACCTAACTATTACATTGATCTGGCACCATAACCATTGCAGAGCGCTGTATTCGTTATGGCACTTGGACTGTTCCTTTAACCACTTTACTAGCAGAATTGAGTATGAATGTTTTTATTTTCATGTACTTTGCTGAATAAAATGGAGTCCATAAAGCCTGATTTGCCCTCATTTCTACTCTAGTTATGGTTACTGCAATTGATGAACGATTTAACACCTAACCAATTATTGATGTATATTCCTCTGTTATCTATAATTATGCATATGATGTATTACTGCTTTATAAGGCGCCTACCAGCCCCCGGAATAAACATTCCTGATTTTTTCATTAACCTAGAAACCTGTGTCTGGTGTGAATTGTTCAGGAAGCGTGCACACACATATAACCAATTTGGAAAGGGGCAGATACACAAATTTATCAAACATTTGTTTTGATCCACGACTATTTGGCTCCTACATGGAGCCACCGGGGTTCTCAGGACTGGAAGGCCGGAAAACGGGACCGGAGCGACCCCCCCCGAGACGGGACCGGAGATTGATCACCTCCTAATATATACGGTAATTACCTATATTTTCCTGTATTGTGTTGGTCTCCCTCCAGGTCCATTCCGGCCTCCAGAAGGCAACAAAAACAGGTAAAAATTCTTGTCGGTGCCTCTTTATAAGAACCTGTTGATTGTCTATCTGCCTCCTGAGTGTGAGTCCTGGGTGTGAAAGAGTTTGCTTGAGAATTTAGTCAGGTTTATTGCATTATTTTGATATTATTGTTAGCTTAACTGCCTAGAGGGCAGGGAACCGCAACCGCCTGAAAAGTGCTGGGAATTTTTTATATTATTGTTAGCTTAACTGTCTAGAGGGCAGGGAACCACGACCGCCTGAAAAGTGCTGGGAATTTTGTTGTTCTGTTCAGAGAGGAACAGGGTTTTGTTGATTAGCATTGTTATGTTTGCTTCATTGGTTTTCTCTTTTATATTGTGGTTATTACTCAGCTGGGATTATAGTATGTGTTTTGGTTGCTTCAATGAGTGTTGTGTGGTTTGTTCTTGACTCAAGACTTTGTGCACACATCTACATCTGTGATTCTTGTAAATGTCTTCTTATTAGCATTTCCACCTTCACCTTCTCTCTCATCCTTTTCCTCTACTATACCTTTGACCCTAAACAGTGTTAGTCACCCACTACTCACCTCGCTCCAATCCATGACCACCATCTCAGGTGGGCGGATCCCGTGACTCGTCTACGTTTGGGGAAGACGCACGCAAATTAATTTCTTGTGGCAGTCGAGCACGGTAGACACTCTTTTTCCTTGTTTCCAACCCTCTATCTCTCTTTGGGACACCTGGTATATTAAGAAATGTAACAGGAACATGCTAAACCCCCAAAAGGGTACTTGACTTGTGATTTGGTAAAGGAAGGGGCTGGTGAGGAGTCTATGCTTAAGGTCAAAAAGATCTCTGGTGTTTCAATGTCTCCCAGTGGCCATTTACAGCCTGAGTTTTGGAGGAAGTTGTTGAAGGATAAGGAGGGATTGCTACTTGATAACAGTTTTACTAAGGCCGCAGAGGCTTGGTATCGTGTGGCAAGAGGACTTAAACGGGAGGGTTGGTTTGAGGAGGAATTAGAATTTGTTTATGTATATCATGAAAATGTTAGTACTGTTCATTCAACTCCCGATGTTTCCCAGCCAATGCCCTATGATGGCTTCCGACATAACGATGAGAGTAACCTCACCTCCATGTCCACTGCCTAACACGCCCTCTCACATACTCTAACTGACACCACCTCCTTAATGCCGCCCACCCCGTTGTATCCTGTCCTAGGAGTTGATGGATCGTATTATTACCTGGTCCCTGTTTCCCCTCCCATCCCTGCCCTTGCTCCTCCTCCCTCCACCTCTGTTTTTGTTCCTGCCTCAGTCCCACTACCCATCCTGGCCTCTGCCCCACCTCCCGTGTCTGCCCCTGTTTCACCTCCCAAACCCACCTTCACTGCCCCTGTCTCACCTCCCGCCATCACTCTCTCCGTTTCCCTTCCCCGCCCCACCTCCCTGCATCATTCCTCTTGCCCCTAACCCTGCTCCTCCCCTCCCAGTCACCCTGTCTGTTCCCTCCTCACAGCTATCACCCGCTACTGCCTCTGATGCCTCTGATGTATCACCCTTAGTTCCTGCCCCTTCCGTCTATGTTTCCTCTGATGTTCTGTCTCCTGTCATGGTCGTCACTTCCCCTGCCAGCATCCTTCCTACCGCTTCCTCTTCCATCCCTGCCCCTATCATGGCGGCCCCCAGCTACCCAATTATGACAGTTGGTTTGGCCGACTCTGTCGTGTCAGACCCACACCAGCCTGCTTCCCCCACAGCCTCAGGCTATCACCCTACCACATCCCAACTAGCTACACTCCAAACTGCCCATGCTGGTTCTCCTGATTCAGGCACTCCAGCAGCACAAGCCCCAAATTCACCAGATGTACCCAGTTATCATGGCTTACCGCTCCCTGCTCCCTTTGATAACAGCCAGAGGTTGGGCCCACCACGAGCAGGACAGCCTAATGCTCAGTCAGGAGAGATTTCAAAATCATAAGTTTTAGTTTTCATTCTGTCCTACAGCCAGCAGCACTTGGCAAGCCCTAGCCAGTATATCCTGTAACCAGCAGGCTGGAGGTTAGAAGCATTTTAAATTCCCTGGCTTACTAAACCTGCAATTGACAAGATTGCCAAGCTAAAATATATAACAGAACCACCAGTGGATACATCTTCTGGAACGTTTTCCAGTGTGGGGATATTCCCCCTTCAAAAGAGCCTTGCAAACCCAGAGCCAGGGGTGATAGGGCTCTGGGATATGTGAGTTTTTTTCCCTTAGATTTCTCCTTTTTTCACATTATTGTTTATTCAGATTGTCTGCACTATTATTTGTTTGTTTTTCTATATTTACAGATTAGTTTAGCGCGTTCTATTTTGGTAATTATTGCTTTTCCCCAACAATACCCCCCAGTTTCCCCAACCGCTACTTGCCCCAACAGGTCATCCCAGCATCCTACTGGCTTTCAATAGAGCCCCATTGATGTATGTTACCTTCACCCCATCCCAAGCAGCAACTCTAGTAACGTCCCTCCCAGACCCAGAAAAACAGCCCATGCCCTTCTTTCGTAGGATTGCCCAGATTCGTAAAACATATTCAGCTACCTGGCATGACTTATCTAGCCTCTGTGAAATCAAAGCCAGGGATGCATATTGGCCTATTATGGAAAGGAGCTTTGGTGATGCCCATCTCCTTACTGATTGTAGCGGAGAGGTAGTATAATCCACGATATCTCCGCTGGGTAACAGGAACAACAAAGGATAATCCAGGGGAATCAGCATACAATAATCCAAACAGCACTGTAGTAACCCTTCCTTCCCAAGAACTAGACGACACATAAGCTGGGAGTCAACTGAGGTCTTTTAATTCAGCTCCACAATTTATACAAGTCCCCATGCAAGGGGTTTCCTGAGTCCCCTCCCAGGGGCATTCCCAGAGGGGACTACATGGGGGACTTATTGTACAGGACATTTCTCCCATCAGGCACTGCTGCACGAGAGGGATCCTCCCACAGGAATGTACTGTTAAGTGGATCATCCCTCCGTGCAGCAGAACTTACAATTCGTATTAAATTGCATAACTTTATGAATATCTGGTCCATTTAAACGAATGGACGTTCGGTAGATAGATGGGGTCTGAGCGCATCATTCGTGAGATTACCGCTCAGATCCCAGCTAAAACAACCGAACGCCGCACGAAAAACACATTCATTAAAACATAGTTTCAAAACACTGATTGTGTATAAGGGAATAGAATACCGAACGTCCCGGACCTCCCGAACGGCCTGGAAGCTCAGCGGTGTTTGTGCCGTCGAGTAGCCGTTTTTAGTACCACGCGTTCGACGACCAAACACTGCTGAGGGAACAAAGGATCCAAGATGGCCGACTGCCGCATGGTCGGTAGTCGAACGACGGCCACCTTGGAGAGCCTCTAATTACCGATTGCAACATTGTTGCAATTGGTTAATAGGCGCCACACGCCTCTAAGTGTGTGGGCTATTAACTGATGGTTTGTTCGGTTCCGCAAAGGTGCCATTCGTGAAACGAAAGGGAATCAGCTATCTGCTTTCGGCAGATAGCCCAGGCAGGAAATACAGCATTACCATTACAGTACATTACATTACATTACACGCTGGAACACATAACATGAAAACCATACCGGCAACTCTTAAAGAGACAGTATATAAATAATGTCCAAGGGGCTAGGTTTGCCACACTGATACAGATTTCCAATCAGGCATAACGTTCTGTGAACAACTTCGTGCTTGGGCACAGGATAAACTAGCTGACCAAGCTACCTTCATCAATGACATTGTTCAGGATAAAATTGAGTCTGTGGAAAAATATCACTCAAGGTTAACATAGACTTTTTATGATTTGGGTTTCAGCATTTACAATAAGGCACATACCCAAATGCTGTCGGCTGCCTTTGTTGCAGGCTTAAAGGAACCCATTAGAAAGGGCTTAACCCTTTCCCGTCCAGAATACAGGATTGTACCCTTGGACACTCTCCTTCTAGTTGCTAAAGGTCTGGAGTCTGCATTATTACCTCAGGCTAAGAAAGGTACTCCCCTGATGTGTTCCTTTCATAATCCTGCTATCAAACCTGCCCCAGCACCCCCTGAGATTCCAGTACCTTTACCACAGAGATACCCTACGTCCCAGGCTCCAAGATCTCAAACCAAGGCCTGTTATAATTGTGGCCAGGCTGACCATTTTTGTAAGGATTGCCCACACCCTGGGGTGTTTGGCCACAACAACAGGCCATAAGACCTCCTAATCCTGGGGCAGCCTATCCTATGTATGCCCAGCCCTCTGCAGTGACCCAAGCCCAGCCTCAGGCTGCCTACCCTCCACAGGGCTTCCCTCAGACTGTTTATTCACCTCTGCCTGTTGACAGTTAGCCTGGACCTCATGATTATACTGATTTTCCTTCTGATGGCTATAATGCAGCTGGTTATCAGCAACCTAATCGCAGTACACCCAACATTCACCGTCCTGTGCGTCATGCACAACAACAAGGCTACTCCGCACTTACAGCCCTCACATGCCACTACACTGGCCCTGACAAGGCCCATCTAGATCTTTTACAATAGGTAACTGGCAATGTCTACAGGGGATAAAAGGGGGCCCCTAGCTACCGTGGTCCTGCCCATTGAGGGTCATCCAACTACTTTCCTAGTTGACACAGGCGCAGCCCGCAGTGTTCTCAGAGAACAAGACCTGCCTGACTCTTCTTTCCTATCTAACATTGATGTCTCATGTGCTGGTGTTGATGGTACTCCTCGTAACAACCCACTAACCAAGCTCTTAAGGGTGGGCTCTGACATCCTCACATATTTAGTTGTTTCTTCTACCTGCCCCATTAACCTGTTAGGTGCCAATGTTCTCTCCCGTTTGCAAGCCTCTATTTCCTTCACTTCAGATGGCCAGGTTCAGTTCAGATGGCCAGGCTCACTCAAAGATACTTCAGCTCTCTGTTCCTAACCTCTCCATTTAGAGGGAACACGCCCTGGAGGGTCATAAAGTTCCCTAGTGCCCTGGATAGGGTCCCAGCCAAGCTTTGGTCCACAGGCCCAGATGATATTGGGCGCCTGCAAGTGTTGTAGAATTATAGAATTCTTGAAATTATCTAAGCTAATGCTTTGTCAGGAAGAAATGTGCTGAATAATAAAATGTGTATTTACTAAAAGAACCTTGAAGCTAACAATACTAACTACTCAAAATGGCTGCCAAAGCACCCCTCCCATCGAGTGAACACCTCGTGCTAACAAGATGGCACCTACATCTTGTGTCCACTCCCGTGTCAAGGATGACATCACCTCTTGATAGGAGGGTATCTAACTAACCACTTAACACCTGGACCAATCAATAGTGTCTATTTGCTGTTATCTTGAATTCTTCAGTGATGTAATAATGCCTTTAAAAGGGTCTGTGCACCCATTTTCTGTCAGAAGCCATTAAACTTCTCCAAAGTTCTTTCATTAACCTGAACTCTGTGTCTCAGTGTGAATTTACTTCTGCGTGCACGCAACTTTATTATCTTTAATTTGGACAGGAACAGATAGTCATTCAAACTAATTGGTTTGCAGTAAATTATCTACAACAGCTGGCACCCAACGTGGGGATCTGGGCTATGTCCTGCCTGGGCAGCTGTCCAAGAAGATGCTGGGGGGGTGAATCCTGGGGGAAGGAAAAGAGCCTGATCACCTCTGAGTACACGGTAGAGATTGCTGCAGCACCTAGCCGGTATGTTCCTGCCCCTGTGATTGACCTATCCCAGTGTCTGTGACTGCTGCCGAGAGGACATCAAAGTCAGGTAATAACTTGCCCAGAGTCTTTGTATTGTTAATGATACCTAGTTTACCTGCATGTTGACTATCTGTTGCCTGGGTGTGTTTGTATTGGTTTGTGTTTAACTTAGTACCCGGGGAGTGTAAGTGCCTGTTTAACTCTTTTAGGAGCCACGTAGCTGTGGCTGTAAGGAAAAAGAGTAGGGGGAATCTGTGGAGGGTGGTGTAGACTCACTGCTTCCTGGGGGTTCCCCATAGTGTCGCTTTGACTGCTTAGCTAGCCTCATCGGACACTTCTTCTTGGTAAAATTCCAGCCTCGAGCACTGAGGCAGGTAAGATTCCAATTCTTTAGGCTATACAGGATTCGGGTTGGAAGCTGTTGCTGTTTCCTGTGGCTGCTGGTAGTGAGACTTGCGGGTGGGTCCGCAACAGGGACACTACGAGGTTGAGGGAGGTGGCTTTTGGCCACACGAGTAAAGGCAAGGGATAAAACTGTTGAACTTATTTGAACTGTGATGCATGCACTGTATTTTATTTGAAATGTTGTCTTAATTGTCTGTCACACAGATTCCTGTGTTTACTTCTATCTTACTCACTGTACTATTTACACTTTCCCCTCCTATTTCTCTTTCTCTGTTGAGAGAAGTGATTGGTCACACACTTCTCGCCACGCTCCAATCCGCGGCTACCACGGGTAGGCGGAATCAGTGACTAGTCTACGTTTTGGGAAGACGTACTTAAAGAGCTTGCTCTTAAAGTAGCAGTCGAGCACGGTAGACGTTCTGTTCCTTTCTCTCTCTATATCTGGGATGCCTTGTATAGGGAGGATGGGACAGAAGTTAGATAAACCCAGTAAGGGTTGGTTAGCATGTGATCTAGTGGAAGACAGAGAAGGAGAAGAGATGGTTAAGAAAGTGAGGAAGATTGCTAAAGTATGTGGAATTACCGTACCTCCGTGCGGCAGATTGTAGCCAGGGAGCTGGCGTAAGTTACTGACAGAGAAGAAAGGGAAGCTGTCGGACCAAGATTTGGTTCGTACAGCAGAAGCCTGATACAGAGTAGCAAGAGCTATTCAGCAAAAGGGATAGGTTGAAGAAGATATTGATCACAAAGGTTTAAGATTGTTTGTGTATTATAATAATTGTGTTACTGGGAAGTCCTCCCAGCCAGCGCCCTATGATGGCGCCCAGGAGGTGACCACTCCCAACATCGCGTCAGCAATGACCGAAATGTAGCTGACCATGGTCCCCACCCCTGGTCCCCACCCTACCACCACCCCTGTTTGCCCAGTCCTGAATGCTGATGGAACCCTATTCTCCCCCCCCCCATCAGTCCTACAGATCTCGTCACCCTCATCCTCTCTCTGCAGCTCCCTGCACCTCCAGTCCGTTTCTCCCGTCAAAGATTTCTGGTTTCCAAACGTATAAGTCTCTGTCCTTCTGTCTTGTTACTTTACAGCACTCACATGGTTAATCTTCATGCCTGCAGTCTCTCTCCCTTTTTGCACTGTCTCACATTCTCCCCCCTCCCCTCCTCCCCGCTTGCCTACATTTCCGCATTTTGGAGCTACTGATAAGAGTTAGAGACGGGATTTTTGCTGGAAAATATTCTAATTCAAAGGTTATGGTGTTATAATTGTGTAATAATATTATCTCATGGCGCCGGCAGATTCCACGGTGCTATATATATATATATAAATTGTGTTTTGTGATAAAGTAGTGAGGATTGTGGGGGAGACACAAGAATGTAGCTCAGTGTTGATTACGGAGGTTAAGTAAGTGAATCTGATACAAGAATAGTGGAATATTTGGACGTGTTAAGTGTAAAGGCAAGCGTGATTTGTTGCAAAACTATGCAATGTGGATAGAGGGAATATGCGAAGTTGTCAAGCTAGTATGTGAGGATGATAAGGGAAATTGGTTGAATTCCGTGAGTTTATCTTGCATCATTTTAAAGAACATGTTTCTATGGACAGCTGTATGGGCTGTTAAATGCATAATGTTTTCAACTGTCTTATTTAACCTGCCAGGTCTGTTCATAGTTTAGTATTTCATTTTGCAGAACGGAATGTTGCTTCTCTGACTTATTTTATTAGTTATAATATAGTGTATTGTCGAAAGTGTGTCAGCCACCACCCTAAAGATGGCGCCTAGTAGAGAAGGAGGTTGACCCTGCCAGTCCCGTGACCTATCTACAGTCACGGTTGCTTCTAAAGTGACGTCACTTCCGCCCTTACCATGCCCACACCTCCTGTCTTCCTTTCCCACACCTATCATGGACGTCACCTCACTTCCTCCCTTGCTGTCATTTCCTTCCCCGCCCCTGTCATGGCTGCCTCCATCATGAGGCCTACCCCTATCATGCTCGTCCTATTTAGAGACATGTTGTTTTCCTTACACTCTACATTTTATGAACAGAAACATTATAATTACTAAAACAATCATGCCATTTGTTTCCCTGTATCAGAAATGTATCCATGATAAAAAAAACAAAAAAAACAAAAAGGTTGCTAAAATGTCATTTGCAACTGTGGTGTGACCTACAAATGAGATCTGTTGGACACGAATATAAGAGCATATCAGCTGATTATACAGATTAATCTTGCAACAAGGGAAATAGCCAAATAATGCAAGTTATTTTAAACATTGTATCTTTACTTAATCGAATCTTGCTAATTACAGATCGTAGGTTTACAGTAACATCCTTTACTTTAAATGATGGTTTAGCATTAGCAGGGTTTGTGACATGTTTTATTAACCCAGCCACTACTGGTTATTCATTTTAGTTGCAGGGTGGTATAATTGTTATGGCCTAATTAATATAAATGATAGTACCGCAATAGTTAATGTTTTATCCAAAGACATATAGGAACTTTACTTCACTTACTATTAACCATTATTTATAATGATAGAACCCACTGATGCTTAATGCCCCTGCCATGGCAGTGTCTACAGGGAACAAGGGGGGCCACTAGCCACTGTAACTTTACCTATTGAAGGTCACCCTACTACTTTCCTGGTTGACACAGGTGCAGCCCGCAGTGTTCTTAGAGAACAAGACCTGCCTGACTCATCGTTCCTGCCTGACACCGATGTCTCTTGTGTTGGTGCTGATGTCCTATCCCGCCTCCAAGCATCCATCACCCTCACTGCAGACGGCCAGGTTCAATTAAATACACCTTTGTCACGAAAAGACACTACAGTTCTTTGTTCCCTTCCCATTTTACTGTGGAGATGATCTACCCACAACAGAACCATGCTCAATTAATCTTCTTTGCTATCTAGCAGAACAAGGATGTAAAGCTTCACATCTCAAGCTGCAATTCTGCCAACCTACTGTTATCTTCCTTGGCCATTGTCTGTCTCAGGGAACCAGACATCTCACCCGTGACCGAGTTAGAGCAGTACTGGACATTCCACCTCCAAGGACCTCAAAGTCACTACACGCCTTCCTAGGCCTCATTTCCTATTGCCGAGCATGGATCCCAGAAGCCTCACTCCTTATGCAACCTCTCTATGATGCTCTCAAGTCAGACCCATTTTGCTTGTCCACAGAAGCCCTTGACAACTTCTGTACTCTTAAACGTGCTATTGCTTCTGCTCCTGCTCTTGGCCTACCAGACTATACCAAACCCTTCAAATTGTTTGTTTCTGAAAGACAAGGCCATGCAACAGGAGTACTCACTCAGGCCCATGGTCCTGGAGGCCGCCAAAGGCCTATTGGATTTTTCTCCTGCCAACTGGATATTGTGGCCAGAGGACGTCCCACTTGCCTTCGGGCCGTCTTTGCTGCCAAAGAGCTCATTGAAAGAACTGGAGATCTTGTCCTTGGCCACCCCCTGGTTGTCTTGGCCCCTCATGACATTTCTGCCATAGTCAACCAGGTCCAACTTAAGCATGTTACTCCTGCTAGGCATCTTCGCCTTCAATGTCATCTTTTGTTGCCTGACAACATTACCCTTCAAAGATGTCAAGTTCTCAATCCGTCCACTCTTCTGCCACTCCCTGAGGGGGGTGTATACTACGGATTCATCATGGAAGAAACTTATGTTTTTCTTCTCACTGGCACCATCAAGAAGGAAATGCATCCCAACCTATCCTTTCATGATGGACAAGCACTCCTTCATGACGAAGCAGGATATGCCTTCTGTACCATGTGGTACAAACCAAACATCACTCCTGAACCCTGCTATGAAGATGAACTCTATCATCTGGTCGAAGTAAAACTCTCTGCACAAGACTTCTACTGTGATTCTGAAGGCAACAGTATGGTCTTGATTCATCTACCTCCGGAACTCAAGTATTTGTACTGCCATTCCACATGTCCCTGTGACCAAGTTGAAAACAATATCATGGAATGATCTTGGGCCTGTGGTAAAAGCATGGGCCACTATGGACGAATCACAGCTACAGGAAAATGGTGTTGTCAAATATCCAACAACTGACCACCTAAAAGCATGGCCACGTCATTTCCTGGAAAATGAGTTCCAAGATTTAACCATAGTAAATGACTACGACCCAAATACACCTCATGACTGTTTTGAACAGATGAAAATGGAAACAACACATCTACCAACTGTGCATGAAGACCCATTGGTAGATCCCGATCTCACCCTGTTTGTGGACGGCTCAAGATATGCTGATGAAGAAGGAAGATACCATACAGGATATGCCGTAACCACAACAGATGAAATTGTCAAATCATCATCTTTACCATCAACTATGTCTGCACAAGAAGCTGAATTGCAAGCCCTGACTTCAGCATGCAAGATCTCTGAAGGAAAGCGCGCCAATATCTACACGGATTCAAGATATGCACTGGGCGTGGCTCACGACTTCGGATTAATTTGGAAAACAAGAGGATTTCTTACCACCGCCGGTACACCAATCAAGCACGGTTCCGCAATCAAGGAGCTGATGGACGCCCTCCTACTCCCAGAAGAAGTGGCTATTTTGAAGATAAAGGCACATGGGAAGTTGGACTCAGATGAAGCAAAGGGCAACCATCTAGCTGATCAGGCTGCAAAACAAGCTGCAAGAGAACCACAGGAAGTGGAAAGAAGAGTGTCCGGAAATGAAGAAACTCCCATATTTACTCTGCAGACTCTTCCAACTGACCTAAAAATCCTGCGGGAACAACAGGCTACAGTTGCCCCTGAAGAAATACAGAAGTGGAAACAGAAAGGGGCAGTTATGAAGGATGGAGTGTACTCCAACAACCTCAAGTTCTGCCTCCCTAAGAATTTGTACCCAGCAGTCGTACAATGGGCACACGGACCTGCACATTTATCAAAGGATCTAATGAATGCTCTTGTACAAAAATACTACCTCACTGTCCCCATATGAGATTCTATTTGGGACTGCACCTAGGCTAGGTTGCTATTTTCCCCAACAACTACAACTTCAAACTGATGTTTTAGTAGATTATGTAACTGAACTTGCCAATGCTTTGAACAAAATCCATGCCCAAGTTCTCTCTTCAATTCCAGATCCTGATTCTGACACAGGCAACCACAGTCTGCTCCCCGGTGACTGGGTTCTGGTCAAGAAATTTGTGCGAAAACACACCCTGGAACCAAGATTTGACGGACCGTTCCAAGTTCTCCTGATCTCCCCTACCTCTGTCAAATTGGCCGGAAGGCCTAACTGGATCCACGCTTCCCATTGCAAGAAGGTTCCTGTCCCAGAGGAAGCAGACTCCTCACAACCATGTACCTCTGGTACATCATCCCTTTGATTAGTTTCCTTGAGGCCCAACAAGTGGCCATTACCAAAGATGCTAGTGGGTACACTTTCTGGTATAATTCATCATGTACCCATGTGGCTACATTCACCTTTGATTACTGTGATATTGTAGAATGCCCATTCCCTAAGTCACAGATTCAAGCCATTTATAAAGATATACCACAAAGATATACCCCTTACGTTTGTGCAGTAGATGAACAATGGGGTTATGACTGTAACTACTGGGGGGCTGCGGGATGGAATACTGGGCCTGCCTGGGGTTATAAACCCAAAAGTGCTTTATCTAAGATAGACAATCAGGGTAGATCCCTCCTTCAAAGAATGACTTTAAGAAAGCCTGGAGGAAGTACCCCTATGAAATTAATGTTAAATATTGAACATCCTGGCCCCGAGGATGCAGACCGATATGTAATGGGAATGTATTGGAAGAAAGGTTCCTACAACAAATTAGGTCATTTCTACCTCAGAGATATGTACCACTCTCCAGAGTGGCAAGGGGCTGATCATATGGTCCCAAATCCGCTAAAACCACATATCCAGTCCTTTAAAGATATGATGGCCATCGCTAACCCCACTTTTGAAGATACCATGGCCGCTGAAACTGGATTCAATGACATTAATTTGTGGTTAGAATGGATGAGGTATAATGCCAACAAACATAATAAAACAGCATGTTATGTATGTGGCGGTGCCCGACCCCACCTTGGCACCGTCCCCCTAACTCTCCCTTTAGAGATAGAAGATTGCTTCTTAAGCCTTTTTGCCTACCAATATGACTTTAATAGGTCCCTCTGCATGGCATGGACGGCAGAATACCCTCTCTTAGTTGAAAATGTTAAGCCACCAGATGGAATCACAGTCTATAGAGGTAATTACACTTGTTATGCCATGTATGACGGGATTGGTAAATTCATGGGTAATTTTTCTAAAGGTTATTGCGCCACTTACAGAACTGTTCCTATACGCCTGTTGCAACACCATACCAGGTCATTGGGGGATATTTACTGGTTATGTGGGGATACAGTTAAGATCTAGGCTGGAAACTGAGTGGTGGGGTGAGTGTACCCTAGCCAAAGTTATCATGCCCATTCATATTATTTCTGATAATCATCATGACACATATGACCCTCCACATACACCAGCCAGAGTGAGGCGCGAAACCCCAGTAAAAGGCAGTTTTGACCCCCACATTTACATAGATGCCATTGGGGTACCTAGGGGGGTGCCTAATGAATTTAAAGCTAGAGATGAAGTAGCTGTAGGTTTTGAATCACTTTTTACCATAGTCACTGCCAACAAAAACCTTAATTGGATTAACTACATTTATTACAACCAACAGCGTTTTGTCAACTACACCAGGGATGCCCTCCAGGGCCTGGCCGAGCAGTTGCAGGCCACATCCCAGATGACCTTCCAGAACAGAATGGCCTTAGACATGATTCTAGCTGAAAAGGGGGGTGTATGTAAAATACTACCTGACACCATGACTTGTTGCACTTATATCCCAGAAAACACAGGTCCAAATGGTAAAGTCACTCTGGCCATAGCTAAATTAAATAGACTCTCAGAAGAGTTAAAGAGAAACTCTGGAGTTACAGATCCCTGGGAAAGGTGGTTTGGTTGGATGTCAAGTTGGCAGAAAGCTTTAGTCCATATCGGTATTGCCTTACTAATTTTTCTTTTTATTCTCGCTCTTCTCATTTGTTGTGTCCTCCCATGCCTAAGGAAATTCCTGCAGAAAACTGTAGACCAAGCAACACCAACCTTCACTCATCTGACAATCGATGATCAAGATCTCACCTCACCCTGTATTCCGCTACAAACTCTCCCTTATACTGATGAAGTGCAGAAAGTCCAGGAAGGGACAGTACAGGGACAGCGTCCGTCTTTATGGGTAGACTGCCGTACGGAGAAGTAGTGGATAAGCCACTATGGGTTACCAGCGGAGTGAAGAGTGTTCCTGAACCGTACTGACGGATGTGCTGCAGCCTGTTAGGGTCAAGAGAGGGATAGACTTGCACTTTGCATTAACACTAAGTCAGCGGTCATGGGGTTTCTGTGTCTTTGGGCTAACACATCTTCTGATACTAACAAATAAAGTTTATCTTTTAGTAACTAACATTTTAAGGGGGGACTGTTGTAGAATTATAGAATTCTTGAAATTATCTAAGCTAATGCTTTGTCAGAAATGTGCTGAATAATAAAATGTGTATTTACTAAAAGAACCTTGAAGCTAACAGTACTAACTACTCAAAATGGCTGCCAAAGCACCCCTCCCATCGAGTGAACACCTCGTGCTAACAAGATGGCGCCTACATCTTGTGTCCACTCCCGTGTCAAGGATGACATCACCTCTTGATAGGAGGGTATCTAACTAACCACTTAACACCTGGACCAATCAATAGTGTCTATTTGCTGTTATCTTGAATTCTTCAGTGATGTAATAATGCCTTTAAAAGGGTCTGCGCACCCATTTTCTGTCAGAAGCCATTAAACTTCTCCGAAGTTCTTTCATTATCCTGAACTCTGTGTCTCAGTGTGAATTTACTTCTGCGTGCACGCAACTTTATTATCTTTAATTTGGACAGGAACAGATAGTCATTCAAACTAATTGGTTTGCAGTAAATTATCTACAACACAAGTACCTCATGTGGTTGTTCAGCTAATGGAAGGAGCAAACCTACCACCGAGGCCACAATACCCCCTGAAGCTTGCTCAGGCCCTTGCCATCTCCAAACAAGCTGAAAGCCTACTAGCAGGTGCTCTAGTGAAGTGTATATCAAAATGTAACACCCCTCTGTTTCCAGTGAAAAAGAAAACTGAAAAAGGAGACCCAGACCAATACTGTATGGTTCAAGATTTCCGTGCCGTCAATGAAGTAACACCCAGTGATACAGCCATCGTGCCTAATCCACATACACTCCTATCACAGGTCCCTTCTACAGCAAGATTCTTCACTGTGATTGACTTGGCAAATGCCTTTTTCAGTGTGCCTCTGGACCCCTCATGCCAATATCTGTTTGCCTTCACACATGACCGCCAGCAATATACATGGACTGTAATGCCTCAAGGTGCTCAAAATTCACCCACTCAATTTTCTAAGGCTATGTCTACTGTATTGGAACCATGGCAGAAATCCCACCCAGAGGTTGTCCTCCTTCAGTACGTGCTCCTCTGTGAAGATGATTTCCCAACTGCTGCACGGCTCTTAGAAGACTTGCTCTGTTTCCTAGCTGAACAAGGCTGCAAGGCCTCCAAAAAAAAGCTACAATGGTGCCGGCCCTCTGTGGTCTTCTTGGGACATTGTCTTTCCCATGGCATCCGTCACCTAACCAGGGACAGAGTCCAAGGCATTACTGCCATTTGCCCTCCTTCCGCTCCCCAAGCTTTGCATCACCTACTTAAGATGCCCGAAGCCTCTCAACTCATACAACCTCTCTGCGATGCCTTAAAAGACGGAACCCTTCACGTTCTCTCCAGAAGCTTGTACCTGCATCTGTGCGCTCCAGAGAGCCATTTCCTCAGCTCCTGCTCTGGGCCTTCCTAACTATCAGAAGCCCTTCAAACTGTTTGTTTCAGAAGGATTGGGGCATGCTTCAGGGGCCCTCACACAATCCCATGGTTCCTGCCAGTGTCCCATTGGTTAGTTCTCCTGCAAATTGGATCCTGTGGCCAGGGGTGGATCATCCTGTTTACAAGCTGTATTTGCTGCAAGCGCACTCCTGGATAAGACTAATGATTTTGTTCTTGGACATAAACTCACCGTCCTTGCTCCTCATGATATTATTGCCATTCTTAATCAAGTTCAATCGAAACATCTCACGTCCCAGAGACATCTTAGCCTTCAGGCTACTCTCCTTTTGCCTGACAATGTCACCGTGCAAAGGTGTTACTCGCTAAATCTGGCCACTCTTCTGCCACTTCCCAGGGGGGAGTGCCACATTACTGGTGCAGTCTAGACATAAATCCTGACGTTCATATTGAACTACAAGTGAAAAACCCCACAGTTCCACATGATGATCAGCCTGAGGACTATTTACATTGCATCCTGTGGTTCAGAAATACCCCAGGACTAGATCCACACTATGAAGAAGAATTGTTCGGACTGGTGGAAGTGGACAGAAGAGTGTCCGCTGAAGAAACTCCTATTTACACTATGCAAACTCTACCCACAGACCTCAAATTCTTGAGTGAAGAACAGGCAACGAACAGGCAACTGCAAGAAAAACAAAGCTGGAAAGAAAAAGGGGCGACCCTCCAGGATGGGGTGTACACTATCAACCTCAAATACTGCCTACCCAAAACCATGTATCCAGTAGTAGTTCAATGGGCCCATCGAGCAGCACAACTATCTAAGCACCTCATGAATTCTCTGATTGACAAATATTTTGAAGCACCTGGCATTTCTACTCTGACCAGGAATTACTGTAGATCTTGCACCATTTGTGCCAAATGCAACCCAGGGAAGATAATCAAGGCCCCTCCAAAACACCTGGCAAAGCCACAGTATCCCTTCCAAAGAATCCAGATTGATCATATTCAAATGCCAAAAAGTGATCGGTATGAATATGCACTAGTGATAGTGGACATGTTCTCCCGATGGCCAGAAGCCTTCCCTGTTGCCAACCTTACAGCCAAAACCACAGCAAAACATCTACTCAGAGAAATTGTCTGCAGATACGGCATCCCTGAAGTGATAGATAGTGACCAGGGCACATCATTTACTGCATCACTGACCAGGGAAATCTGGGCAGCACTGCGGGTGACCCTTGCATTCCACACACCCTATCATCCACAGAGTAGTTGTAAGGTAGAACGCATGAATGGCCCCCTGAAAGCCAGAATGCTTAAGATGGCCCAATGGACTAACCTACCCTGTCCAGAAAGTCTTCCCATAGCACTGTTTAGTGTGAGGTACACTCGGAGGCGGAAATTTTGCTTGTCTCCATATGAGATTCTGTTTGGTTCAG